GAGTGCTACGTTTATCTAACTATAGGTTCTAATTTGGGTTCGAGAAAAAATCAGAGTTTTAAGGTATTTGGTGAATAGGGATTTTCGGGTAAGAAATGCAATTATCAAAATAAGCGGACCAACTATATTATTATCAAAATAAGGCCTGTACTTGGATAAGAGTCTGATTTCCCTAACGAGGAAATATTAGAGTTTAAGGAAAAACGAAAATACGGAAATTGTTTAGTTTACATCACCAAAAATAAAATAAGCATAGTTTATAGACCCCTCGTACGACCCTCCAAAAGCTTATCCAACCCAAGCATTCCATTAACCTTTCCTTTCGTAAAAATGAAATTTCTTTTTATGCAAGACCATGAGACGTATGAGACTCTAAAAATGACCACTTTACGACATCACAAATATCAATCAACGAGCATACAAATAAATCCAGTTATCCACATAATACACACGGCAATCACACACATATCATACACACACATATATATATATATATATATATAACCACTTAAGCATAGCACATAATTCACATTATTATCATATTATATATTTATATAAATCACACACACACACACACGGCACACATATACACACACACAACATGCAGCCCCAAAACACACTTTAATTAGCATTAAATTAGCAAACCATGCCCTTAAAGCACCAACATTTCTATCTTTTCATTTATGGGATTTCTCCCACTTTTATTCATTTAATGAATTAAAATTCTTACAGCCCCTTAACATAGTTCAACTGCAGATTTTTAACTATCAATTCACATCCTCACAATTAATACACATGGCATAATGATTAAAACACAAAAGTTTTATTTATGACACATGCACAAGCAATATTTCAAAATAATAGCAAATAGCATCTACAAATTCTCAAATTTAATTATAAGCTGCCTAACTGACTAAATGAACAGATGCAAAAAGCATTTTGCAGTTTCCTCAAAAATCGGATTTACACAAATTAAAATACTCGGCAAGTAATGTTGAAGCCAAAAATGATTTTCCCAACAAATATTAATCCAAAACTAAGGCCAAATAACAAATAATCAAATTCCACTTACTCCTACTGAGATATTAAAGATGAAAACATTTTTCATTGCTGAAATTTCAAGAAATTGCAGATTAGTCCTAAAAATTCATGGATCTACACATGCAACCCCAAAAATCTGGAAAACTCATTTTCTTTTTACAAAATTCCAAAAATTCGAAATATTAAACCTTTAAACACCAAAATGCTTAGATTCACAGATTATAACATGGATTAGACATGCAAGAACACAAATAACAAGATTAGCACAAGATTTTGGATTTTACACAAAAAGCCCTAATTTTTCGAAAAGTGAAGAAATCTTTTTGGTAATTTCAAAAATCCTTTTCCATACTATGATACCCTTCGATTGCAGCAAGAAATTTGAGATTTCTTACCTATCAAGAGTGTTTGGCCGAAGAAAGTAAAACCTTCAAAAGAAAAGAGGGTTTTTAGAGAAAGAAAAGGAGGATGAAGAAAATGATGAACACAAGGATACAATGTTACCTCCTTCAAGAAGTGGCTCCAAGATTGAACAAAGCTAGTTGAATGGAGAAGATAAGAGCTTTGGTATCAAGTTGGGAGGAGTTTAAATCTCCCGTAAGAGGGCAAGTGTTTTTTATGGTGTTTTTAGCATATTCAAGGGTGAAGCTTATATAGGGGATTTGCATTTTGATTTCTCTATTTTTTTCTTGAAGAATTGAGGTGTTGGCCGATGGAGGAGGTGGTGCTTCGGTGGTGATGGTGAAGAGAAGACAAGTGGGGGTATAGGTGGAGAGAGAAGAAGACATGAAAGTGTCTCTTGAGATGACTTAGCATGCTTGAGTGTAGGATTAGTGTAAATACTCACTCTTTGCCAAGTGTACAAGCATGCATCTTTTCCTAATTTATTTACTAATTAATAAATTCACTAATTAACTCTCACACACACACATATCCGAAAACACATAAACATATATTTAACTATGTATTTCACTTATGTAGGTCTAGCATGCATAGGCATATAGCTATATATGTATAAACGTATATGTATATGTGCATGCATGTATTATATAATGTATTATAAAGCAGTTAGAGAATTAAATTAAAATGCCACAAAATTTACTATAGCACATGTATTCACATAAGTCACATAAATTAATCTAACACATAATTATCAATAATTAATCTACTTAAGCACATAATTATCGAAATAAAACTGGCACATAATTATTCAATGAATTCCTAGCACATAAGGCATATAATCAAATCGGCATATAAGGATTATTAGTATAGGCAATATAAGGCATTTAAGGAATTTAAGTTAGTGAAATTTGTAATGATTTCTACGTGAGAATTTTCGGGTTATGGAACCTTGGTTAGGGATTAGGGTTTCGAAAATGTGGGGTGTTACACACTGCACCCTCAATTGAATAATAAAGTTTTTATTAGGTTTTTTTTTCTGGGATGCAAAATAACAAATTAAATTGTTATTTTCTTCAACCTTCCACATAATTTCGAGCGCACAAAGTGCGACAATATTAAAATTACACCTGATTATTGAAAAAAAAAAACTATATTTTCTTCCAAAATAAAATAAAATAAACGTTTATCTCTAAATTATTCGATTAATGGATCTTTAATTGTAACTGGTGAAAATATTAGGTAAAAATATTTGGAAGAAAATATGATTTCCAGATAACTTGATAACATAATAGCTTAAGGATTTTTTTTTGGGATAAAAAAATGTAATTTTTGGATATGTTGATGAAATGTATTTTTATTTTTGCACTTTATAGTTTCATAATAATTGATGAATAAAAAAAAATGCATTTGACATTTGTCATCCTAAAAAAACCACTAAAAACATTTTATTACCTTTATTAGGTATCAAAATTCATTTGGGATGCATTATGCATGATTTATTGTGTCTCGAGGGTATAAAGTGCTATTAATTTGTTTCGAGGGTGCAAAGTGCCAAAATAGTATATTTCAAGGGTGTGAAGTGGGATTAAGCCTTAACCTTTTTTTTTCTTTGAACTAACACCTTCGAAATAGGGGAAATTTTGTACACGCCCTAAGAACTAATATTCATGCAAATAGATCCACAAAAAAAAAAAAAAAAAAATTATCTCTAGATCATGTATGATAAAAATACACTCGTCTTGTTTAAAATACTTATAGAGCATAATCCGAAATGAATCTAAAAATTAGAAAAAATCAAAGGTTGTAGATTTTTATGTCGACTTTCCACCACAACTTAAATAAGAGCTATTGGGGGTTAATATGCATAATGATTTAGAATTGGGGTCAAGGTGCAATTGGTTAAATTATGATTTTTGGAATGAAATTGGAGTAAATTAGATATTAAGGAGCATTTTAGTCTTTGGTAGGGTTGATGTCCTTTTTGGTACAAGTGATTTTGGAGTGGAGGGATTACCAAATAAGTAACATCCCATGGGTTGATTTGCGACTTGCCCTAAAATAATAGGTCGTAATCTAATGTTTGGTTATAACGGTTATGAACATATATTGTTCAAAGTGCCCACGTAGGCCATAACATTAGATTTAGTATTAGGGTAAATAGCATAACCCCTGTATTTACAAACTATTGCCAGTTGATCTGAGCTAAATGGTCCGATAGAGAAATTGAGATATGTGATGCATTGAAGGACCACTGAAAGAAGGCCCAAAGTAGGAAATCCCACTCCAAGCCCAAGAGACCTGCAAAAAAAGAGTATCAGGAGGAGGTTTTTGGCGTTAGCACTCCGACGATCAAGTCAATTGGTTGTTTTCTCTATAGAAGAATATATGTTTAAAAATGGCAAGATAGGTATGATGATTTCCTAGTACCTCGAGACTGTTATTTATGCTTGCCCTTTAGGTTATCCCTTTTTTCAGTACAAATCTTTTTCCTTTCTCAATTTCTTTTCACCTGCTACGACCGCGATACGGCAATCCTGTGGGGCCCTGATGATTTTTTCTTTTCTTTTAAGTTGTAATCTCCGACCGCAAATATTCGTCCATCTCCAATCTTCCCGCCTACATTCGTTGGCCGGAGGGCAAACCTATTTCCTGGTCTGCATAATTTTTGGTATATACAATTTCAACTGATTCGTGTTTTTGGTCGCCTGCCTCTGCTTTCCCCCAAGAAGCAAATCGCCGCCACCATCACGGGCCCGCGACCGTCGAGACGATTTGGCAGAAGGGGATTCAGGTATGAGACAAGGTCTTGTTTTGGTTTTCCCCCTTTTTTTTTTGGTTTTCTTCCTCCCAATCCTCTGTAAATTACGGAGGATTGAGATGTTGTCACTATTAGCGCTAGAGGGCTCTATCGGGTACTAGCGATCTCTCTTGGTTATGCGGGGCGGAGACTTGCTCTCTAAAAGGAAGGTACCTTACGTGGGGAGGCTTCTGACAACCACTTTATAGTGCAAATGTGTCCAGATAAATTAAGAACGTATTTTATAAAGAAGTCTTCCAAAATTTGAGCTAAATAAGTTATTTATACTTGGAAAAAATTATATACGAGATCGAAGAAAGAGTAACCTTATTCTCTAAGGAAAATGATGAGTAAAATTGTGAAAATCATGAAGGTGAAAAGAGTGAGTAGCTGCTGGTTCATGCAGTTCACTATTATTCATAAAATGATTCCGATTTCATAAAAAAGAATGTGCAGACGAAGCCTCTGTTTCTGATGTGCATTCAATCACTTATAAGTTTGATGCAAATATTGTACTATCGTAATCACGCAATAAATATATATATCATGAAAATATAAAGTTGTGTTTGATACACACAACAAAATCGTCTAATCCAACTTTTTAATATGTAACTAATTAAGATACTTGCGCAACAGCTTTGACGTTGATTTCTATATTTAGAAGACAACAATCTTTGACAATGAATCCTTTGTTAGGATCATTAATAGTTGCAAGATCAATGTATACAGGCCTTCCCTAACTACTGCTGGAAGCTGAAAACTAGTAACTAAAAACTGCGGAAAAAAAAAGAAAAAGAAAACCAAGGAAAAAGAATTAGTTTTTGGTTTCGCTTTCCGTTTTGAAACATCAAACTTTTTAAATGAAATATTATAAGTACTTACAATATCGTCTAGTTTTTTTATCATCAAACTGGTTTGTCATGCCAGTTCCTTCTGCATTTCCTTTTGGGTAAAGAAGGATTTTCCTACGTTTACATATATTAAAATATTTAAACACAACAAAAAAATAGAAGGTAATAGTTGTGACAAACAAAAAAATTGTACCATTTTTGGCCTCCAGCATCAAATTCTTCAGACACCCATCTTTGGGGCAGTTGGGAGAAACCCGAAATCTCCAAAGCATGATTGTAATAAGTATTGACATTCGTCAATAACACACGTTCAATGGCTGCTTCTCTTTTGACCACAAAAACTTCAGCAACAAACACACAGCTGTCATCGATTATGTATCCATTTGATGGATCAGACAAAACCTTTCTAGAGATAAATTTTGAAATTCCCCATTCGGACTTTGTTGCTTGGAAACAAAGCGTTCTTCCTGCCAATAATATTATAAAAATAGTGCTTAGAAATTAAAGTAAACAGATAATTTATGACTAAGAAGAGAAAAAAAAAAGTTGAGTATTATATAATACCTGTTGAAGAAAGATAATTGCCCGAAATCTGATTAAAGATAAAGACGCTGAAGAGAGCATTGACTTCCCAGTTTGTAGGCAGAGAAGTTGTGTCCGCCATAGCCAAGTTTACAGATATATAATCACTATCTTTTCCATTAAATTTGAATATTAGTCTCCTGTACAAATTCAAACATCCTCCATTACTTCTTTATTATTATTATTTTGGCTTATTTAGTGGCTTATTAAGGAGACGGAGAGAGAATATACCACTTGTAATCGTCGGCGACAAATTCTTTTGTTTCGTATTTCTTAATTCCATACTTTTCTAACACGGAGAAAGATTCAATCTTGATCATGAAGTGAGTAGGTGGTGCCTCTCTTGTATTCAAGGTGGTCACTTCTAAAAACAGTAGATGCACATAATTTCAGCACAAAAATGTACATACATACATACATACATACATACATACATACATACATACATACATACATACATACATACATACATACATACATACATACATACATACATACATACATTCATACATATACATACATACATACATACATACATACATACATACAAACATACATACATACATACATACATACATACAGTAGAATCTCGATAAATTAATAACCTCGCTTAAATATTAACTTCTCCCAGTCCCGAATCGGTGAAAACGTACTAAATTATTAGTTCGATGATTATTAGTTAGAATTTTGCCCGTTCCGACTGTATTGATTTACAGAGGCTTAACTCTATATACACGAGAAGCAAAACATAGTTTTTTTTTGTAAAGAGAATTGTCATACCATCCTTCGTTGATGGCTTCAGACACAAACAGTTTCCCATCGTCTTCTTCTGTTGTTTTTTTGCCCTACTTTAAGTTTGTAAAATCAGAGTACTCTTTATATATTATTATATACATGCATTAATGGGAATATTAATTATTGATCAGTATGTAACTACTTTGACTTACATGGGAATTCTAATGCATGAAGAGTTCTTGTCCAATGGGAATATTAATCCGTAGGTTTTCTTGAAATTAAATTTGTAACGGTGAATATTGGTATAAGTTAGTCACCAAGTGAATTAATTTAGGGTTAAATACGCTTTGGACCCCCGAAATATATACTCTATGTAACATTTATCCCTTAAAATTTCATTTGTAATACGTACCTGAAAGAATTTATGGTCCCGAATTCGTTTAATACAGAGGTGTTATCTTAAGTGTTATGACACTTGAACAAACATGCAGTGGAAATATAAAGATAAAAGAACAATACTCAGATTTAAAAATGTTCACAAGTAAAGACTTGTGAACTTGCCCTTTACAGCACGGAAAAATATATTAAAATCAGTATTCCAAGAATACAAACGGAAGAGGTGTGAAAACTTCTTCCTTATGAATGAATCATTCTCATGATCATTCTTACAATCAAATCTAGATACTAAAAGAAAAATATTAAAAATTATAGATTTCAAAGAATGTACTCATAAGGAGTACGTACAACAGATCCTAGAAACACACTAAAATTCTCGAGATTAAAACTTCAGCACTCTTTTAGTTTCTTCGAAATCTGTTCAATTCTTGAGTCTTGAGTTTGGTATTTATAGACTTGCCAAGCTTCCACTCCTCAGCCCATGATCTGCAAGAAAACCAACCACAAGAGCACTCAAGAAAGTGGGTTAGTGGGTTAGTTGGAAGTTAAGATAAATTCCACAATTTAATCCACTAAGCACTACTTAACCCACTAACTAAAATTTAGTTTAGATAATAAGAAGGTTAAAAACACAATGTGGAAATAGTCCACGTGTTTCAAACTCCCCCTTTTTAACTTTCTGATCAAAACTAAATTTTAGCTAAAGCCCCCCCTGAGACATTGCTTGAACTCCCCCTGAATTTGATAATACCAAAAAATAATATAGAAAAATCAATTCAAAACAAATTCAGCAAGATAGTCCAACCATAACTTAAAAAAAAAATAACCAAAGTGCAGTCCTAACAAAAGTTCAGAGGGAAAATAAAAACAGAACAAAATCAATTGTTCATGAAAGCAATTAAATTAGAATATCCAAAGTCTCCTCAGTATCAGCTGCTGCTCCTCCATCACTAGCACTGGATCCACTGCTTTCCTCTGCTCCTTGAGCTTCGCCCTCATTCTTTGCTCCCTCTTCATTGACTCCTTGCTCCCTGCCTCTTGTATCCAAAGGGTGAGAAGTCCCTGCTTCACCTTCATGACTAGCTTTTTCTCCCCCTTTTTGATCAGAAAGAGCCTTTTGAAGCATGTCCACCATGGACTGATGATAAGTAATCTGAGCTAGAGAGTGAGTAAGCTGTTGTAATAGAAGATCTCTAGGAACATAAACAAGAATGTTAGGAGTGTTGTCAATATGAGGAGCAACACCTTCATTACCAAGATTATTTTGACCTGATTCAGTTGAGAAAAAATTATCTCCAGTCCAGGGAAGATCTTGGACATGAGGTGCCTTCAGAAAATTTTGAGAAACAGTGATCATGCCTAGAAGAGTATGAAGATATTCTGAGTCATCTTGGCCTAAGTTTTGAGAGAGTAAAATGGAATAGATGAGAGAAGGATAAGGAAGATGAGTAGAGGGTGAAATTTTCTGGGCAAGATGACCCATAGTATTAAAGAAAAGTTTGCCAAAATCAACTGGTAATCCCATCCCCAATTTGTACATGAGTACTGCATGAGGTTTAGTTACCACAGAGACATTTTTTGATGGAATCCAATTCATCACTGTGAGTCTAAACAAGACAGAATAAAAATCAGTGAGTTGAGAAACCTTGAATTTTCTGGGGTGTGCAGGCCAACTTCTTAAACGGTTTCCAGAAATAACTTTACAAACCTCAGTAAAATCACCATAATTATCCTCATCAATCACAGTAGGAGTTTGTAAATGAGAGGTGATAATTTTGGGAGTAAAGGAGAAGATGGAATTTCGCACAAAAACATTGCCAAAGTTTGGAGAGTTTTTCTTTAAAAAGGAGGTTTGCAAATTGGCATAAAATTCCTTCACAACAGTGGGATAATAGGAGCAGACAATCTCAACTAGGCTAAGGATTTTTCTTTGATGAAGAAAAGCAGTGATCCTATGCCTATCAAACTCTTCCTTGAAAATTTTCTTTTCCTCAATGAATTGGCAGTTCATGATTTGAGGGCTCAAAATTGAATCAGATTCAAAATAAAAAGTAGGACTGAAGGCATTGGTTACCTCAAACGGAGTTGACAAATTCTTCCCATCCAAGTCTGGTTCTTCTTCTTCTAAGGAGTCCTCATCTTCTGAATCTTCAAGCTCATCTGGAATGTATGCTGGTTCAGGTGATGCAACAGGTGGGGCAACATCTCCTTCCTACTGAGAAGAGTCTTCAGAAGATTCACTGTCTGAATCTGAGGAGGGCAATTTTTTGCGAAAAGAAGCAAGAGCAACCTCCCAGTTGTCATCACTTTTCTCTGGTTCTTCAGCCTGAGGAGGAGATGCATCCGCTTGAACTGCTGCTTCTGCCAGAGTTTCCAGAGGGTCTGCATGAGGTGCTGATGGTGTTTCTTCAGTAGTGGTGAAATCCTGAGCATCAACAGTGGGAATGTCAACATGCTCAGCAGAGGACATCCCATAAAAATCAGGCATTTCTTCATCCTGATAAGGAGCAGAATCCTCAGCAGCACTCTGAGGGACATTTGCTGAGACAGTGGGTGCAGCAGCATCTTCTGGAGCATGTGCAGCAACACCTTCAGAAACAGGATGTTGAGAGGCTGCGGCCGCCATGCTAGGCTGAGATGTCTCCCCCTGAGTTGAAACTGGGGGATGTGAGTCCTTGGATGATGACTCAGAGGAGCTGGAGGATAGAGCTTGGGCCTCCGGATCTGCAAAGGCAGGATCTCCTTCTTCGTCATCTGTGTCTTCATCAACCAAATGGAGACCTCTTGGAAGGTTTGACCTAACTGGAGTACGGCCACCTCTGCCTCCTCTTCTTCCACCTCTGCCTCCTCTTCTAGGAGAGTTTTCTCCCCTCCGGCGTTGTGACCCAACAGTATTCAGATCTGGAAAGGGGTTCATGCGCTTGGACCGGCGGGTTGGAAATCTTCCGGCAGTGGAAGAGGGACCCACGAACTCGAAGTTGTCTGGGTCGATCGGATTCAGCTCATCTCCGGGCTCAATGTAGCTGATTGGTACAGCTTCAAGGTTGACAGGATGAACGATGATGGCCAGATTTGGGTCTGCTGGTTCAGGTGCTGCAGCATCGTTGTGGACATCACCAACGGCGGCTGGAAGAGGATTTCTAGGAGGAGATGCCATGATACAGTAGATAAAGAAAGATTGCTTCTTTGGGCTTTTGATTTTTGAGTGTGAATTTTCGAAAGAAGAAGCACGAAATTTATAAGCCCTAATTTTTGCAGAAAAAATTGAAGTAGAGAAGGTGAAGAAGTGGTGTGCGTTTTTCTTGGAGAAAGTGTGATTAAGGAGAATAAAAGTTTCTTTGGCAGTTTAAAGCAAACCGTGACACATGGCACAATAAGGAGTGGACTTAGTGGAAAATGAAAGACTAACCCATGTACCCATGACCCATATAACTAGGGATAATTCAATAAAAATAAAAATAAAAACCGTAGCACTCATGAAATATTCACAAAAAATAAAAAACATATTTATTAATGATTAATAGTGAGAAAAAGAATTGGCTAACATGCATAGCTTTTATTATATATATATATATATATCTTTTTTTTTTTTTTTAAACTCTTATTTTCAAGTCAAACAATTCACATGGAACATGATCAAGTGTTCAGTTTGAAGGTTCCTTGAGTTACTAAGATATGACAATCAAAATAGAGGAGTTTGACTTATGTGAGTTTAATTATTCCCTAAATGTTTACATGAAGCATGATCACGTTTCAAGGTGAAAGACTTCTAGTTACTTATTTAGAAAATAATCCATCACAGTGAAGTCATTATTTAAAGAAGCTAAGCCTCAGTAAATTATGTTGCAGCTTAAGATATTTGATGAGGTGCGGCAACATATTTAAGGACATGTTTATTGAGTACACATCCCGAGAGATTTTCTGAGTTTAGAAAACCTCTCATAATCTAAT